TTTTCTCATTGTCGTCAGGAAGAAAATATTGGGTGAGCCTCCCCATATAACCGATGTTACCGTCCTTCAGATTTGGAAAACTTGAAAACGAAATCTTCAATTTTTCTTTTCCTAAAACTCAAAGACCACGAATGATGTTCATTCCCATCCAATGACTAAATAGTGACAACGGAAAACATCGAGTAGAGGATGAAGGTGCTAAAAGTCAAGGTCAATAAACAGGCACTGTCACTGTATTGGGTATCACTGCCGTTAAAGATCCAATTAAGCTTCCGCATCCAGAACCTACAGGGCTGCCAATGCCATTAGGTCAATGATTCTACTAATCAAGGCCTCTAATCTCTATATCCAAAATATTCCCTAAAGGTATATTATTTAGAATGAGCTATGACCTATTCTTTTCCTGCTTCCACACTGATGTTTGAAATAATACAAATAAATAAACGATTGGGCACTTATTGTGATAAGGGTAAGTAAACGAATTTATTCATAAAGCAGTTAATAATTAGTCCTAATGGCATGGCATCCCGAGATGAATCATCTACACCATGAGACGTAGGTAAAAACCAATTAGTTTCATAATAACAGGCCAGGCTTCTCGGCTTTCGAGGACTAATTGGACATGAACGATTGGCATCAGCAGTAACGACTTTCCTGGTTTCCACGATAAGAAGCTAGTGATGACAATGAAAGTAAGACATGACATGTCTTTAGTATCGGTGAGTTCAATGATAGCTTTGAATTCATGCTGCTATCAGATGCTTCCCTTCCAAGAGTGTAAGCAAGCACTAGAGTGTTTACGGTAGGGGTGTAAAAACTCGATTAGGCTGGGGAACCCTTCAAGGGCGGTTGGGGGCCACAATAACAGGACCGGTCTTAGCTATTTCGGCACCCTGTACAAAGAGACTCCCAACGTCACCCCCCCCCCCCCGTTCCCCCCAAAGGGAGAACGGTCAATCCCTACTGTCCAAAAAGTCGCCGAAACGCATTCCCAGTCTCTGTAGTAAAATTGAAGGTGGTATCCATTATTGCTTCATTCATTCTGACACGTTTTGACGCCTCTGGTGAATTTGCGCCCTGTGCGGGGGCACATGTGGCACATGCCTAAGGCGGGCCCTGCACAATAACATACCTTTTTATCAAATTTTCAATGTGAACATGTTGAAATTTGCCACACTTTCGGAAACCAACTGTTGAGGGACTTCATGGCATTATAACAGAATGGACAGATCCGACCCGCTGGCCGCCAATTTGACACCCCCGTTTTATGGAATCAAGAATACGAGTAACAGAATGGATGTGAAGCCCCACCCCACTCTCATCTACGGTTGCGTTCCTGTTTACGTCTTGAGGACGTAACACAAACTCTCACTAATGGTCTACGAATCTCACTCAGCCGTGGACGCGATGGCACTTGAGCGAGAGGGGATTCGGGGCTCAGTGCGTCTCCCGTCGCGTACGAGTCGCGTATGGATATCCGTCGTCCCCGGACTCGTGCCTTCCTGCTCATTTCCTCTCCAGTAACACGCAGCAACTCTGAAACCAGTTGTCCGTAATGTTCATCCATTCCGGAATTGGTGTTCTTCTCGATGAAGTCTGAAAGAAATCAGCGTTTTTTTTTCTTGTGCCATCCCTATGCGATGCATATTACAGGTTTGTCTTGATTCGGAATTGTATCGTGACTAAATCGTCAACGTGATGCAATGCCGTTTGAGAACTCACTCTTGATCAAGCCCCATGTGGATTTCTTGTACTTGATTTGGCCGAAGAGGAGGAGCGAGGATTGAGACGGAGATATACGAGTCATGCAGAAATGCAAAAGAACAGAGAAGTTGTCGCCATATGGGATCCCATGAGCGGTGACCTCACAATTTACTGCGTAGAGATGTCCTGGTCTCGTGGCTTTGTCCAGGACCTAAAACCATGCAGACAAGAACATGATAACATTTCTCTGTGCACTTTGAGCAATAGTTTAAAAGATTTCTCTTGCTTAAAGGTCACTTTATCTCTCCTAGATGAGGCTTCAGCATTCGAGACATAAGCGCTCTTAATCAGAAAATCCAAGTGAAGGGAGACAGCTCAGGCAGAGGGACAAACCACGGTAGGAGACAGATATTACCCTTATTAATAGTTCGATTCCAAATCACGTGCGCATCAACATAT